GAAGGAAGAAGTGGCGCCAACCCATAGAGCAACTCGCGTGGACTTTAATGTTCACACGATGGAGGACCTGGTTAAGATGCTGCAATCTTACCAACCACCTCAGGTGACTGTGAAGCCCCTACTACCGGCTGAAGCTGAAGTGGTCGACTCAACTCGACCACCCGCACAGGTGACAGAGGTTGTCTCCACCGCTGAGCAGCAGTCCATATCCCGAAGAATCGAATCAGTAGCGACAACGTCGGACACGGCCGCCCCAAAGGCAACTTACGCAGAGACTGCCGCAGACCAAGCATTCATAACAAAAACACGAAAACAAAATCGCCAGGCAGCAACAAACCCCAATGCCCAACCATCGGAGGGCGCGGCGAAGGCGAGTCACACAGCTGATACAGCCGCTCGTACACATACTCAGCCAGTCACGCGCGGACAACAGCATCAGTTCCCATGGCTCGCACTAACACCACTCATCCCGCAGCGGCATCGCGATCCACCACACTAAACAAAGGGCAGGACGCGCGTTTCGCTTTTTTTTTCTAAGGAACGAAGCGTTGGGACAATTTGCGGAGTTCGCTTCTTCAGACAGCGAGGAGGAGGAAGACGATGACCAAATGCAGATTGATGATGAGAAGCAGACTACACGAGCATGGGAAGAGAACGAACGTGACGAGGCACCTTATGCGTATGCAGGTGGGCCACAGCGTGATTCCTTAGCCACGACCACGCCACCACGAGCGACAGATTTCAACCAATCCGCCCGGTCAGCTAGCGTTGCTCAAGAGGACGAGGTAATGCCTTTAGCAACAACAGGGGGAGCGACCACTGCTGCTGCCGCCCGGGCGACCGAGCAGCACTCACAGAGCCGATTGGAGATCACCACCACCAGCGCTGTGGTACGGTCCGCTCGCAAGGTCAAACAACTGTCTGGGAAAATAGGCCTACAGGATGGCGCTATTAAGGGGATGCAGAATAGTATGGCAACATATATCAAGAGCACGAAGCGTGCCGTGGAGGGGAAAACCGGTGAAGTGATTACTGCAGTGGTCTCCAAGCCCACACAGAGTGGAGACGGCCACGAACAGGAGGACATAGTGCCGGCAACTCCAACCTCCCAAGAGGATCTGACTTTTAAAAATAACGCGTATGGGCACTAACGAAGGGGACGCTGGTCTGCCCGTTCAATTAGGACAATGGCTAGTAAGATTTAATGGAACAGAAGTGGAGGTTGAGGCAAATGGTCAATGGTCAATGCGCCTTCCTTGCATTATACGCATCAACCACGAATCATTCAACGTCAAAACTCAAAAACTCAAGGGCAACGGTCCAACAGGTCACAGAGTTGAAGCAGTCAATTTACGCGCTCATGATGATGAATTTACGCAATGATGTCGCGCTAGGGCTCGTCGATCCTATAGCGGAGTGCGCTCGGCTGTATTCTGACCACCCAGGTTATGAATCCAAGGAAGGGGCCACTGCAGCGCTCTTTGCTCACTACGCCAGAGCCAGACTACGCTCAGCTGGAGAACCAGTGCCGCCACACCACTGGGCTGGTCCTCATGAACTTCGGACGATGGCGCAGTACTTGCGAGAACCCATACTGGTGTTCGACACAAGAGCTTCTAACGACGCCCACACCCAATGTTACCTATACAAACTTCACCGACTCCCAAACAACGTCGATCATGAAAGCAGATATGTCGCGGCATTCACGGACAGGGAAGCAACAGAATATCTTAGAGCCAGCTTCGATCTTCACGTCCTCTCAACCTTTCTGGTCTTAAGGCATGACGAACGGCATTTTTATGGAGTCGGACACGGGGAGCTATACCTCAAATAAAGGGCGGAAGGAGACCCAGAGTTTGCTGCAGACATCTCGAACACGTTTTCATGGAAAAAAGATGTGAATAACCTGACAGACGCCGAACGCACCATGGACTTGGCCTCAGTAAACCAACTAGCGGACAGAGCGGACGTCAACTCTATTCTAATTAAACGTCAAGAAATGAGAGCGCGGCTAGATGTCGTTTATGCCAGACTCGGACTACCCATCCTCGATGCGGCTTATCGCCAGAACGCCTCGGACGCAGATCTCCAACAAAAAGAACAACACATTCACGCAGCGTACGGGATTGACGCTTACTCAACTGGATCTCAGCAGGATAAGACTAACGGGAACGGAGTGGTGTCTATGCCTACACGTTACGCTCGCCCTGCCTATGGTGTTCTTGTCCAAAACACTTACTTCAGACTCTTGCGCGCATCGAAGTCAGTTTCAATGGATGAGGTAGACGTGCCTCTTGCGGACTTGATAGCTTGGGCGTATCTAGAGGCCTTCTCAAAATGGTGTGTACTCTTCAGAGAGACATTTCAGACCCCTCTCACTAAGCGACGCGGATCGCGACCGACGGATATCACAAAATGGCTACTCAAAGACCACCAGGCTCTACGGCACTTGTTCCTTATCCAGAACACGAGGCCAAGAACGGGGACCTGGTTCACCTAATCAAGTAGGGAGAACTCGATTTCCACAATGAACAACTTACAGCAATACAGCGGCTGGCAGGAGACGACACGTTGGACGCTAACCCCCGACAGTACTGCGAAGAGTGGCTTACAGCTTATCTGCAGTGCAGTGACGACTCGGTCGCAGCCAGTGATCTGGTTGCGTCTCCTGAGAGGTGGGGCGAGGTTAGCCCAGTGGGTCCCAGACAACTACTGCCGGGCACAACCGGAAGGTGTACCTCGCACCGAATGGTGCCTTCTTCACGTGATGCCCTACGTGGTCAGTGACTGGCAATATACACCAATGGGGCGTGCTCCACACGGCGCCCGGTTGATATGGTACGAAAAGTTCTCATTCATCCGCAGTTTATGCCACGGAATAGTGAACCACCAAGACTGGAGTGCAGCAACTTTAGCCCCGACGGGGCAAACCTGGGGAGCTCATAGGGAGGACGAAGTCGAGAGCTCACCACAGGACACCAGAAAAAAAGGCACCACAGTGCCAGCAACGTCACCGCAGGGGGGCAGCCTGCGCTGACGCCTGTGTCCACAATATGACGATCACTGCCCATGCATACTCCGACTCCGTCCAAGCAGCTGGAAGGGGAAGTGTGCTGGATCGGAGGAGAAGGAGAATACAGACCCAATTACAAGAAATTACACAAAAACTTTACATACTACGTGGGGATACATCGCGAAAACACAGGACTTGTGAAAATTCTTCGACCCAATACAAGTAACAGACCAATTCACTGCACTAGAGGAACCGTTTGCGCAAGACAAGAAATTGCGCACGAAGAGAATAAGGAAAGCTGATAAGGACGCAGCCAGAGCAGCAAAACTAGCGGAGCAACGGCTCCACCCAGAAGAGCAAACGTTAGGGATCATTACACAAAATGTCAATGGACTCGGTGCGATAGAAAAGGAGAGATCGAACGGGTTCACGGCTTTCGGGACACCGGACTCCCATGGAAACTCAGATGTACTCTTGTTGCAGGAGACGCATGTCGCGGCCGGAGAGATGGAAGCGTACAAAAGACTTTTTGCGAGGAGGTGGGGGCTCCAGACGGGCCCACGGCAGCCGAATTACTCCTTTTGGACACCTGCCGATGACAGGAGGGGTTGTGTGGCGATCTTGGCAAACCCGTATGGCGCGTTTAAGGCCATGACGCCCTATCTGGAAGATAAATGGACTCAGAATTTCACGGCGGTAAGAGGGACTCTTGATGGCACCCCGGCAATTATTTGCAGCGTATACGCACCTCACACTCCCGCGCTCAGAGAGACGTCTTACAAAACATTGCAAAATATTGAGTTTCCTGCTGGGGTATTGCTCTTCGTTGGAGGTGACTTTAACTGTACCTTGGATGATCGGGCTGACTGCAGCTTCACCAGCGCATCCGGAGGCCATGACGCACCGGCGCTGCGGGCTTTGCTTAATATATGGGACCTTCTGGACCCGATCGCAGTGGCACGACCGTCGAAATGGACATATGAAGATCTACTACGACACCACTTCGAGACTCACACTTATCATTACACGCTTCCTGGGGGAACAGAGGCATCCTCGCGGCTGGATCGGTGGTATATGTCACCTTGCACACTGTCGTGGGTGACCGACTGGCACACAGCTCAGCTCGGAGCCAAGTCGGATCATCTCGGAACTAAACTGCACGTCAGATCACCGGAGGACCCTATCCGAATCCGCCGGCCACCACGAATTCACCCGGTACCTCAATTTGCAGAGGTCGCAGTCAAGGAGTTACCACTCGTATTCTAACAGAGTTTGCTGAGCGCTTTAGCAAAAATGAGTACTCAGCGGAAGAGGCCAGCGTGCAGTGGGAGGCGTTGAAGAGTGAAATTGCTCGTAGAACCCGACTATGTATTAGAGAGCGGCGTAAATCAAGGAGACAATCTCTCAAATAGAAATTGGCCCGATTCGTACGTCAGCAACACAAGATAAAATGGGTCAACCTCCGACGGTAGAATCAATCACTGACCAGCTAGACGGACTTACTCTGGACACAACAGCGGGGCCGACTCGTGAAGCTCGCTTACGGCGAGCTTTTGCCGAGTGCAAGCAGACTAGAAACGAGCTTGGAACGCCGCTTGTTCCAAGAAGCGACCCACTGGGCATGCAAAACTACACGTTCCTTCTTTAGGAGAGTCAATGGTCACCTTGGATAGCGATAGGTTTTTCACGCACTACAGCCGTAGGCTCAGTCGAAATCCCTTCCTCCGTAAAGGATGACTCCGTCTCCTGAATGAGCTGTCTGTGTAGAGTTGTCAAGAAAGAGTAGTGTGACATCTTCTTCTTGCGTTCCTTCTCCCAGACGTGAGCGTGTACAATGTAGGCGTTCACCACCGCCATGTCGACCACTCCAAGAAACAGGCTTTTGTAGTATTTCTGGAATCTGTTGTTCGGGACAGCATTAGATGTTTTTCATAAGCTGACATGAACAGCACATCACTTACCTTGTCGCCAACTGCATAGAGTATGACTGGAGTGGCAACTGGTCGTGGCGATCAACGCCGCCCATGTAGCGTTGATATTCATTAACCAAACCTGGACACGGCACCGTTGACACCGCTCCACTCTTCTCCCTCCGTTGCACCGTTGTCGATGCCGCGGTAACTTGAGACGACAGGAAATACACCGAACGGTTATGACGTTTTGTGTGTTTTTGGTGCAGAGCCTTTACCATCTTCGGTCTCAAGTACACCAAAGACCTCAGCCAAGAGAGCAGATACTACAAGTAGGGAACAGCCACCGAAGAAACGTTCAAAGACGGTGGGGCCTTGTAACTCTGCAGACAAGAAGAGTGAAAAACGGCAAACGCCCAATAAGATGAAGAAGACGAAAAAGCAAGAAGCAGCAGAAGCAATCCAGACAAATCGAAAGGGTTGGTGCAAAGCCGTAGAATATCCATTCAAGAAACGACCAGCCACGTGCAAGCGAGGCTCTTTCAGGATGGCCGTAGCGACGAGTATTCCGGGGCTTGCTGCTGTCGGCTGGGTATACCATAAAGCACGAAACATGTTTGAAGTGCGCATACGCTTACCGAGTGGAACTGCATTGGGACGCACCATGATGTTGGTGAGATTGAGGCGGACGCACAGGTCCTTGTCCGCCTTTACGTGCACAAGCAACGCATCTTCGCCGTTGAAGAAGTCCACTCCCTGCTTGCCGCCCCGAATCTTGCAGCCAGGCTTCAAATAGTTCGAGCTACAGCAATATACAATCAAAGTTAGTAGGGATAACCGCATCAATATCATAACACTTACTGTATCTGTAACCCTTTTGCTGGTTTCCATGTCCACCCTTCCTTGCGCAGTAGCGGCCACACAACTTTGAAATCCACAACGTACTCCATTTGCTGTATGGGGCTCGGAATGAAGAATGAGTGGTGACCACGAAAGGGGAACCGAAATTTGATATTTTGAAAAAATATATAGTCCGGCTCTTACCTGCGGTACTTCGGTACTTCAATCCGGCTGTAAATGTTATCCAATAGAATTCGTTGCTTTCAAAACGTGGACCAATCAAAACCTTTTAAATTTGGGAAGTGTCGACGATGGCAGTTTGCGGATTTCAAGCCATAGTGAAATCAAGTGTTTCTTATGCTGTTCAGAACAGCATAAGACATTATTGCAAGGCTCCGCGTCCAAGGGGTTAAACGAGTAAAACTTGCCTACAGCAAATGTGAGCTATTTTTATGTATACTGGTAATTGTGATCGACAAAAGGCTTAGGGTAACCATCACCCATCCATAGCGCTGTTTGCCAGATTTCGGGTACCCGAACCCGCCCGAAGTGCGGGTGGTATGGCTAAAACCACGGGTACCCAGCTTTCGGGCACCCGTTGCGAGCTCTGATCTGCAGTCACGGTTGGCAATTTAACCCCCGTCGAAAAGGCATCAGAACAAACCACTCGAGGGATTGGGTGTAAGGCGAGTCTGAACGCGCTCCTGAAACAAGACGAAGACGGAGTGTATACGGTATGTGTTTCAAAGCACACGTCGGTCCACAACCATAGCGTTGGTCCTAAAGAGTATTTCACGTACGCTGAGACTCGCAAGGTGGACTCATCTGACACAAAGATTGTTGCTAATTCAATGTGACAAGGTAAGTTAAACAGCAGTGCAATATATAGCTGGTCATTTACTAACATGATGTCATATAGGTGGGTCCAACCGCAAAAAGATTCTGCGCTATTTAAAAGAAGCATCCGGAAAACCGACCCAGCCGAAGGACGTCGAAAACATGATTGCTCAGATGCGACGCGAAGCAGACACCTCGCAAAATGACAATGTTTGTGTTTCACAGTTGTTGCAAGATTTCAGTGAAGGCCCAGGAACGGCTGTCAGTATCTATCGCGATCCAGGTTCCGAAATTAGACGAGCTGCATAACCTTCAAACAGCACATATGAAAAGGATGGCTCGCAGATTCCCAGGAGCACTTTGTATAGATGCTACACACGGCACAAACATTTACAGATACGATGTGAACACCAGTTAACAAATTGGTGACATGTTTACCGACACGTTAGGTGATGTCACCAATTGCGTAGGAATTGGCTTCATATTCACCAATTACTAGCAATGAATTTGATGTAGGTATCGGCTGTTTAGTTTCATGGTGACAGATAAATTTGGCAGCGGAGCGTTTGTCCAGCATGCCTTGATTGACGGAGAGACAAAGCCTAACATGAAGAGTGCGCTCAAGGCGTCTAAACAGAACAATCTAGCGTGGGCCAATATAATGGTAATGTTACGTTGGAAATTTTGGACGAAGTTGTGAAGACAAAACAGCTTTCAATAGCGGTTGTTGGGGAAGCTCTCGACGGTATTCGCCGCATGTTCGATGGTGCGGTTTTCAAGCATCCCAAAGCATTAGTGACCAAGGGTAATCACTTCCGTTCTGTAGAGAGCAATATCCGATTCGTGCTTCCAGGCATGTAAATGTGTTATTTTCAATATTTTGCTGATATTGATGTCATCTTCACCAATGCCTACCAACATGCACAGCTCACGAACCAATATCTTGATAGAACCTTTGGTGATGAAAAGCATAGACTCGGCTACAAGTGTGAAAATCCGCGAAGAGCTAATCAATGACACAAAACTGACATCAAGTAATATATAGTGATTTCGATTCTTGGCGTTGGGACGTTTAGTCTGGTTGATAAAGAGCGAATGCGAAGGTGGTACGAAGTATCAAAGAAACTGATTAAGGCCCGGAAGCTGGTTAAGTTTGTAAAGAAAATTGTTATTGATGACGACTACAA